GTAGCAAAAAAGCCCCCGGCCCTGGAGAGACGCTCGTGGAAGACACTGCCGGCCTCCGCGATAAGCGCGCGTTTTCGCTACCCGGCTCGAAGGGGCTAAAATTCGATATGTATGAAATAAATGAGGGGGCCGTCGTAAGATGGCTGCTCCCTGCTCAGTTCCAATGTGTATACTGTTCCTGGCAGATTCAAGTGGCATGTAGCTGGAATATTCTATGAATGTAAAAAAGCTACCTGCTTGGTCCTGCCAGTAACCATAAGCTTGTCTTAAAGATTAAACCATGCATATCCTAAATACATGCTGTATTAAGGCAAAACCATAAATGACTCACTAAATCAGTGATGGCTGTTTGGATCATGCCTGGACAACTGGGGCAATTCTATGGCTAATAATACATGCAGCAGAACTCCGACCCTGTAGGGACAAGTGTCAAACCAATGAAACTTCATGTCTGTATTATGTGGTGATTGTATGTCTTTGGGCTGATCACATGGACTTGTTGTTTCAAAAAGTCCATTATTTTTGGTGAAATGTTATTCATAATATCTATTACATAGCCCTCAAGAACTTCAGTTTTACGGGGAGGTTGTACGGAGCTAATTGACAGAATGGGTTTTTCATCTTCAGATGGTGGATTCTTCATTATATCTCCCAAACCACATATAAATCACTGGATCATCTGGTATTTAAATTTTAGCCTCAAATTTCACTGCTACTGATGCAGATCACTGAATCTCCCAATTTAAATTTTTAGCCTTTTACATGCCATTACTGATGCGGCCTTGTCTTTTCACCCATCAAACTACAGAATGAGCACAGAAACAGGTTGTTGAATCCGCATACATGCTCAAGTCAAAGTGAGTTGAAAGGATTGTAACTTAATATGCAGTGAAGAGATTGTTAGTCCAAAGGGACAATTTGCCCTGAAGGACTATTAATTTCATTTTCGCATTTTGCATTGTAAACTTTAAAAAACTGTATCATTTTTCAAATCATTGCCACCATATACTATCGGCCTATCTTATATTTTAAGAAATTAAATAATGAAGAATTTGCATAAATGTATGTATGTTTCTCGCATTGTGTTAAAACAACGTTACCTAGAGACATCAAAATTTAAATAACACAATTTTCCAGAGTATGGGCATGTGGAAGCTCTAATTTGAATTTGTTTTATTATAGATTTCAGATTTTATAACACTTCAACGAATTTTTGATTAAAAACTAAACAATTTCAAAACGAGCAATGGCAATACTGTATGGGAAAAAAAAAAATTATCTCCTGCGCGCAAGACTATCGGAAATTCTAAAGATATGCTTGTTTTAAAATTAATTTGTGATATTGCTGTTGAACTGAATTTTATAGTTTGAGTACGTAGAACATGATGTTTAATAAATAAAGGTAACTCATAAAACGTTAAAAAAAGCCCCTATAGACATAATTTAAAATTTGAAAACTTTCAGATTTTTTGACTTTTTAACGTTTTTTTAATATTTTTATCCTGCATTCATCCACATGTTCCAGAATGCTTAAAATTTACATTTGTCAACTAATTTTATTATTTGGCATTCATTATTTATTTTATTAAATTTAAAGTTATTTTGATCAGAGCTGAGCAAAATGTTGCGTACAGTTACACATTGTAATTGTAGTTTCAGCATGTAATTGCACTATTGTAATTGGATTATGCAATTACTTTATACTTGCTTTTCAATTACAATGTAATTATGAAATCTTAATTATAATTACATTATGGTTATAATTATAAAATAACTGTATAATCTAATTACAATTGCATAGTGATATGTGAAATCTAATTAGAATAACAATGTAATTGAAATAACTCTGTATTTGTGTTACAGTGTAACTAGGTAATTACAATTTTTTAAGTAGGGACATAATTGCTCCTGATAGTTTCTGTTACATAGCCTACTGGAATCATGTTCGTAATTGAAAATTGCTGTAAATGGCAATACATCCGAAATGGCGCACCAGATTCTAATAGGAAACTTACTAAATAATACAAAGCCATAATTGCATATAAGAAAATTATTACTATTCCATCTGGAATCATCCTGCTTAATTTCTGCATGTACTGCATTTTGTAATAGAAACATAAATTATTAATTAATACTTTTTAAGTACTATACATATTTTCAGAGAGTTTGTAAGAAAAATAAAGCAGGATATATTTACAGGAACTAATTTTTGATGTTTTGTGTAGAGCTAAATATGCATAACTTTGTTAAACAAATATATATATTAATGATGATCACAAACAGATATGTCAATTTTATTAAGGAAATGTAAACAAAGACTGCATGCATATGGAATGAAATAGCTTTGTTGAGGATTTGTTAAGTGAACTCGTCTTTTTTCATATTACACAGGGAATAAATCACGTAAACTTCATTTAGTCTTCTCGTTTGAATTCCGGTTTTCTACCTTAGCTTGTAGGAACATGACTCTTATGCATTAAGATCCTCTTTAATTGCTATGTGTACTATAAGTATACATAGTTAAAACTATTTTTGTGCATAATTAGTATGAATTAGTTTATTATTAAATACACATTGTTTCAATAAATTAATATTAAAACATTATTTACTTGCAAGGGATTACATCTGTACGATGGTTCTCCAGAGTAAATTTAAGCAAATATAATTTTTAAGTCTGTATAGATGACTATTCCGGCAGAAGGTTAGGTTATACAGATTATGGCAAAGCACACAAAGGCTATTTCCTTAAGGTGAGAGATACTTTTGACGAGGACTTTCTCAGGAAAATTGTAGGATTTTTCACATTATAGGGGAGAAAACCATGAAGAGGCCTATCCATCTAGTCTGTTTGGTAAGATTTAAACCAGGTTCTTCAAAATAATTATGTTAGCGTTCCTACTGCTCAGCTGCTGGTGGACACTGAATGCAGCAAAATTACAGTATATTCCATCTGAAACCATCATGTATAACTATTGAGTAATTCCAACTTACAGTTATGATATTAACTATGAAATAAACTTTTATTACGTATAACCAATATCTTCATTAATTAATTAAAAAATTTTTTATTACATATAACCAATATCTTCATTAATTAATTAAAATATATTATTTTTTATTGGCGGATGCATTTGCTTAAATTAGTTCTCATAGCTTCAGGTAGAAATAAACAAGCATAATAGGTTTTCATTTGATATAGCCAGTGTTTTGGGCTAATAGTTAAAACATATTTTTTACTAATGGATGCGTCTGCCCAAATTATTTTGCATAGATATTGTTAAAAAGAAGTGTCTGAAGAATACAGTTGCAGGCATAAAAATGGAATTATTTTCTGAGACCATCCTGCATAATTATTGAATATGTTCAACTTAACAGTACTGATATTAACTATAAAATAGACCTTTATTAAATATGACCTACATTTTCAATAAATACCGAAAACCTATTACTTTTTTACACTGGCCCGAACTATTTTCCATAGCTTGAGGAAACAATCAGTTCAATTAGCAAGCATTGTTAAGAAGTCGGTGAAGATGACAGCTGCTGGCAAAAAAATCTCATTTTTCTATCCAAGACCATAAGTAATATGTGATCTTCAACTTCAAGTAGTGGTATTAAGTATGAATTGGGCGTTTAATAAATACAAAGCATAATTGCAATAAATAGTTGAAGTAAGTTTTGCTGCAAGTGAATTGCTTATACAGGAAACATTTTGGATAAAAATAAATTATGTATATATTTGTTAAGCAAAAGTACATGTTGATTGTTTATTTAATTTCAACACAACCAAGCATATAAGGGTAAGGATATCTACATGGAGAACTTTTTCAGGGAAATTGATTTATATTCATGGAAGGAAAACCATGAAAATACCCAAACATCTTGATTGTTCACCACAATTAAAAAACGAATTGATCTATCACTATTAAAAAAACTTAACTACCCTGTGAAAATATAAGACCTTGCTGTGAAATAGCAAGAGTGTTCAGTACCTGTCAGAACTGTTCTGTTTTCTTGTTAAAAACTTACCCTTAGAAACAATAGTAAGTGTGTGAGATGAGAAGATCATAACTGAAGTTTCAATAGTAGATTGATTGATTGATTAATTTTTCGTGTTATTCTTTACTGACGTAGTCTTTTTGATTGATTGATTAATTTTTCGTGTTATTCTTTACTGACATAGTCTTTATTAAAAATTAGTACAAGCTTATGTTGCTGCTTATTTAGTCTGAACTGTAAAATGGAGAAGGATGTGTTGTCATGTCATGGTAACTGTAAAATGGAGAAGGATGTGTTGTCATGTCATGATGTTTTTTATGGCTATTATTCTGATGGGTAGTGATACATTTATTATGTAGCATATTACTCTATTTGGAGAGAAGCAATGTTCCCCTATTTTTCCTGCTGCAATAGGTAAAGTTCTTTTGCCGACTGTATCCAAATATGATTTATAAAGTAGTTTTAAATCAGTTAACCTTTTTTTTAGTCTCCATGCTGTCAATTTGACAACCTTTTTTCAGAATAGCTTTAGAAGTAGGTCAATGTAGGATTCATCACCATGTATCTCTGAATTTTCATGTAATCTGCTAGATGTATGCCAATAAAATTCCATTAATTTGCATTAATGTCAGGCCAGTAAAGTGATAATAATGTAATTAGTACCTATTATTTCCTCCATTAAAGAAAAATACCACAGAAAGCAGAAAAAATGTTTCTAACATTTTTTCTGCTGGAGTCGTGTGTACTTTAATTCTTAAATAGTTGTTCATTTAACCCATTTTTTTATTATTATATTTTTGAATTATATTCTTGAATGTACAATGTGTGGTTATTAGTGTGTGTGCAGAAAAATTTTCTCATTAATGTATCAGCTTACTTAACATATTCTTGTGTGAAATTCTGACTATTAGACAATGTAGTAATTAATATTTATGTTTACAGAAACATGATTTAAGACTGTGTGATTCTTAGATTTGTATTTAAATGTGCGTATTTAACAGGTTCCTGGGGTGCCTCTAGTTGGTAACATATTATGGTTTTCTGATATATTTTTGTTAACACGTTTACCTGTAATGGCTCGAACTGTAGAGAGAAAATCCCAAGATGCTGTGAAGCAGTCACGCCAGTCCTATTTATTACAGAAAAATCACAGCTTAATAAAGTAAGTGGAAATTTTAAAGACCTTCAAAAATTTAATAATTTTTTTATTAAATTTATTGAAAATAAATGTAAAATTTGAAGGCCTTTCATAGTTTAAAGAAGCTCCAGAAAGTTTTGAGAGTGCTAGAAAAGATGTGAAAACTAACATGCTTAGAATTGTTGCTTATTTCCTGCAGAATAATTGCCATAAGAATAAACAAACATATTGTATTTCTGAAGATCCCCGGGAAAGTATTTGTATTTTAAATCCATTTCTTTTGTTGCAGTTGCTTTGTCTCATCTTTTTTGATAATTTAGGTATTTAGGTCTTTTAATGCCCATTTTATTGTGGTGAAATGGGAACTCATCATTGTGTTGTAGATTCAGGGAATAAGGGGCATGTGGCAAAACAGTTATTCAATGCTATACCGGACACTGTATAGGGTTCAAACTATGTAAAACCCCTTCTTGGTCGGATTCTTTTTTTGAATCCTCCCCCAAAAAGCATTTTTTTAATTGCAGAGTATATGATCTATCCTGAATTTGAAAATTTAAAATATTTTCAGCAGTAAACAGTTTTTGCTTAATCTACTGTGGTCATACATGTGATATCCTTGTCACTGATCTCCAGTTTTCCCTGCAATACGCCCAAATTTTAAACTAAAAACATACTCTCCAATACTATATATATATCAGATTTATTCCTCTGAGGTATTTAAGATGTATAGCTGTATAAAAGGAATTACTAAAAGTATGTAAAATGTGTTTTAGAAATAGTTTTACAATATTACTATGAAAACAGCTTTATAAGCTTTCTTGACTTCAAAACATAAAAAACATGTTGAAATCTTTTATTGCAGAATATTTTATTTCTTACTTCATCAAAAAAAAAAAAAAAAAAAAAAAAAAAAAAAAAAAAATTCTTGGTAATGTTATTCAATACCCTTGGACTTACACTCAGAATCCATCATAAAAGCTATTTTGATATGCAGTAATAATTGAAGAAAGTAAAGTTACAGAAAATATAAAATGTTCCCTCACTCATGGCATGAAATCTCACTGTAAAAAATATGAAGAAAGTATGAATAGTAGTAGCAACTCTTAGCAATATTTAGAGATACAAAAAATAATCATGGGATATAAAGAAATATGTAAGTGATGATGAATTCCCTTTCAACAATGCAGTTTTCTTATGTGACCTGAGGGCATGAAAAAAACCAGTGCTGCTTGACACCCGTCAAGAAGGGGTAACCCAAAGTCTTTCAGACCCTATCAGACTGCCAGGCTAGTTATTGCTCTCTTTGAAAAGATATGACAGTCTTATAAAGATTTTTAAATAAACCTTTTTATTTAAGCTGAAATTGAACAGAACGCACAGTTTGTACATTCAACTCCACCACTTATGGATATTAAAATAAAATGTTGAACTTTAATGATGGGAATTAACTTTGACTAGTAAATACTAACTGGGAAAGCTGGGCGATAAGAGTAAAGTTGCAAGCATTGTTGCCAATTGCATCATGGTCTGCATCATGGTGAAGACTAATGAAATGGAAATGTACATCTCTAAATCGTAAAAATTTGTTAATTAACATAAAATGCCTTTTAGTTACTCCCACCAAAATTTGAAGTAGTCAAAAAACAATGTACTTAACCTTGATTGTAGAAAATTTAATTACAGTCAAAAGTCGTTAATTCGGACACCCATAATCCGGACTTCAAAGCTAAAATCTTTCTGCGCATGGGCCGCGTTGAAGCATGCGCATAGGCGTTTTACGCGTGCGCGCAAGACATTTACGACTGCGCATATGCATCTGCGCAAGCGTAGAATACGTTTTCACGTGCGCGTTTAATGTATAACGGACGGTATAAGCTAAACTTATCTAATTATCTATTTCAGTTAATGTTGATGATTGCGTTGTACCTTAATCTTCGAATTGGATCCGGCTTATTATTTTTTGCAGACTGTAAGAGCAATTTTATAAAAGTAAGCTTGAACTTTCGATTATGTCAAATAGAATTTCCGATGCTGGAGCTTCCCAAAGGATCTAGAAAAGTGAAAGTATGTTTCGATGCCCATCAAACAAAAAACGAATTGCTACAAAAAATGGATAAAGGCATATCCTTTGTTTATCTAACTGTTCCGAAATCTGTTTATCAATTTCATGCTGCTCTGCGCGCAGTGAACTGGAAGTTGATCTGTCAGCACTATCGTTATCTTCAGAGCAGATGTTTTTATTTTATTCGGCTTATAATTCCTTACTAAATGTAGTATTTAATCTCGATGTACTCCGTCTTTGATATGATTTAAATCAAATTCCTCGTCATTATAAATATCACGAATACAAATCAAATAGTTTTCTGGTTGCAATTTTCTAATTTCGGCTATGCGTAAGGTATGCTTTACGCATGCGCACGTTGAAAGAAATGTTTAATAAAGTAAACAAATAAATATTAAGCTTCTTTTTTTTGTAAATTTTGATACCCTTTAGATCATAATTGCTCATTATTTTATAAATTACGGTTTCATATTTTTAATTTTATAATTTCTGCATGCCATCTTACTAGATTTAAATTGATGATCTATAATCCGGAAAAATCGATAATCTGGAATCGCCGAAGTCGCGACGAGTCCAGATTAAAGACTTTTGACTGTATAAACCAACTTGAGCCAAACGTTTACACGCTCAAAGTTAACTTTATGTTATTTTAAAGTCAAATTTGCATTTATCATCTTTCATTCTAGATTTTTCTTTGGCTTACACATTGTTTATGAATCCTGGAAGGGAAAATATTTTAGCAGAAAATACTTTGAATTGCGTAGTTTTTAAAGTTTTAAATCACCTGTTAGAATTTACTTTTTATCCCCTTAACATACTTTTTCACCCTGCTCTCCAGCTTTGTGTTGGTTGAGTAATTGCATAACATTTGTAGTATTACAGTATCTTCTCCTAACTGAATTCCTACATGGTTAAAATTTTTTGAGCACAGGACATCAGCGATACCCCATTTCAAAATCTTTACCTCATACTTTACAATTAAATCTCATTTAAACTTTAAAAGTGTTGATCGGAGAACCTAACTTCTAAATTTTTGAGTATGAAACTGCTTTTAAATTTTCATTTACAGCACAAAATAGCCATAATACATTTTTTATTTCACAATTCATTAAATCTTAACATTATTATTCATGTACAGTACTTTCGAGATATTTAATTTCAAAGCATTGCATTTACTTAAAATTAACTTTAACATAGAACATGTATCAAATCAACTTAAATATCCTGTTTGATGTAAAATGTAGGTATACAGGCAACTTTATACACATAACATAAAACTTATACTTGCACAAATAAATTAAATTTTACTTATCTTGTGTTGAGATAATCAGCCATCCTCTTTGCCACAAATTCACTCCATGGAGGGTAGTTAATTCTCTGTAACTGAACCCTTCTTTGGGTTTGGTGGTCATTCTTATCCTCAGTGGATCTCTACTGCTTTTCTGTTAGATCCTTGATTAAGGTTGATTTCTTTTGTCATTCAGCAGACAAAGGAAACTGGATATCTTTAGTAAGCATAAAGTATATCTGTATGTTAGATTGTTATCTATATAGTAAAAGCTTGACTATCCAGAAAGTTCTGGAAATGCTGAAATCCGGATAGATAGATAGAAAATTCCGGATAGTTGTGAGTGTATAAAACATGGAATTCATGTTAGAAAATCCAGATCAATGAGAAAAATGTCCACTCTAAAAAATAATCATCTTATTTGTTACCAACTTGAATATCGAAAGCTAAAGTTTAAAATTACATCTTGTATTCGATTTCAGAAATGTTATATATATATATATATATATATGAAAGGAACTTTTCTGATTTTGACAATAATTCTGCAAAAATTCAACTGAGGTATATTAAATTCATACTACAGAGGCACAATGTAAGTACTTAAAGAAGGAGGAAAGCATAGTAGGAAAAAATGACTAGGATGCATACAGTATGGAACAAAGGCTTTATTGGCAGTAGGGCATTGGTGCAAAAACTGTCTGACCAAGAGGAAGAACAAGAAACCAAAAGTCATTTTTAAGTTATATGACCTCCCCTAATTGCAAAGGTTGCATTGCACCATCTATCAGTACTTAACACCAGATTATCTATTAGTTCTTGAGTTAAAAGTTCCCATTCTTCAAGGAGCATCTGTCTATTCTGTAGATATCTTCATTTTCTAGGAGTTCCTCAACAACATGAGTCTTGTGTGGCCGTGCATTCTCTTCCATGAACACAAAGCTGGGACCAATGGACATAAGTTACATATGGGGGAGGATAACTTCATCACAGTAACATCCCAGTAAGTGAACGTCTATCAAATTGTGGAGTTTCTTATGTCCTTTCATCATAATGCCTTCGCATACAAACATACCAGAACCACTCCAGCAGTCTCTTCCCTGATGTTACTGTGATGAAAATGTTCTCCTACCTCTCTCTCCATACCAACGAGTGCCGAGAATTATTTGTCGGACTGAAACGACTCACATCAGTAAACAGGATGTGACTCCACTAATGAAGTTTTCAGTCTTTGTGTTCTTTACAGTCTTTGTGTTTGGGTGAAGAGGCCATCTTTATGAAATCAGTAAAGAGTAAGCAGGGCACATGTTGTCCATTTTCTGTTTGGAGGGGCTGAGCAGTGTTGCCTGCTATCTAGTTTTGATCTGTTTGTGTCTGCAAGGCGATATAATGGTTATCAGCCACCGTTTTTTTTTCTTGGCTGACCACCACCATCTTTCTTACAGCTATACATGCCATATGGAAGGCATTCTAAGCCTGTGAAACAAGTTTTGTCATTTCTGAAGTCTTGGGCAATAGACATCAAATTACATTCCTCCTCAAGTTTGCCAGTCATTCTACCATGTATAAAGGCATCCTAATGTTTTCTTATATCCATACTGCACCTACAGTCCCACCTTCACTTGCAGGAGAATGCCTGGAAATTCCGCTTTTTTTCTTCTTTTTAAATTGCCTTTTACTGCCCTTGCAGATTACTCATGTTCTGCGTGCCCCGACATTTTCATTGTACTAATTGCAAAAAACCCTTTTCGAAACAGTTCCATGTTGTATGTTAACAATGGATTAATTACTTAAGTTTTTCACACCAATGTGTAATATTTATATGTATGCACGAATACATAAATGTTTGTTCATGACATATGTAGCCAGTTTTTCTAAACATGTTTTCCACAGATTTCTCTATTGAGAAAGCAAATTGAGTATCAGTTTTCAATTCATAGGACATTTTTGTTACATGATTTAAAATGAAGGATTTTGTTAAAATTTCTTTATTTATAATGAAATTTTATAAAAAAAAAAGAACTGGTTTATTTCCTCAAATATTAACAGTATTAATTATTAAGATGTGATATTGCTTCCAACTTAAAAATTTCTAAAAAAAAAGGCTTAATTTTAAGAAAATCGATTTTGGGTAGTGAATGAGATAAGCTTAGTAATTATAAAATGTAAATTTTCATACAATTTTTCATCGAACCAAATTTCCAATTAATGTATTATTCATTATACTTTTATTAATTAAATAAAGAGTTTCTTTGTTTAAGTGCAAAATTCGTAAAGTTATGATTTGTTCAGTTAATTCTACATATTACTTAGAACATAGAATTCCTTGGTTTGGAAGAGATTTCACCAATTTTTTAACATCTTGTGTCAAAATAAAACACAAGTTTCAAATCAGTTCTATCCCAAAACTGGAACACCAATCTGTTCAACAGCCAGATGTTTCTCAGAATAGCAAAAACGTGTCTTCTTTTTCATAATGGTTTCTTCATCGGGAATGAGTTATTACACTGAAAGGCCCCCTAAGACTTTCCGTTTCCATGCATCAGCATACTTTTCATACCCCTATTTATTCTACTGTCTGTAAACCCAAACCTTCTCCTACTGTAAGTATCAACATATTTCAGACCAGCAGAAAGGCCTTGGTAACTACCAATTTAAGGTTGAGAAATTACATATATTTTTATTTTTTTAATCATGTTATATCACATTCCTAGTCCATTGTCATTTACCTTTCATTTCATCCACAGAATTGAAATGCAATTTATGATAGGCATTGTGTGGATTTGGTATAGTGCAAAAAATTGCTTAATGTGGAAATATCTTGCAAAGCCTCTCTCAAGTATTGGAGCTCATACAGCTGCAGGTGTTGTGGGCCCCTAAACCAATGCAGGGAGCAAGTAGTAATTTCAGGAGGAGAGAAAGTCCATCCATCTTGGATCACAATTTGATGTTTCTTAGTATTTGCACTTTAAAGCAGAACTTGCAAAATACTTCATCAAAGCCACGATTCATGATAGTATAGCATTTCTTTATGTTGGAGATAATCTTTTACATTTTACTTCTGAGTCTACATATTTAAAGCTTTTCTAGCCTGTACCCTTCAGTGATGTGTTATGTGGTACCAAACTATCAGGCTTGCAGCAGATAATTTTCTTGCAAATGGTGTAGCCGAGAATTTTAAAAAGTCTAAAAAATATGCAATTATGCTGTAAAAAGAAGCAAAAATATAACGTCATTAAAAGTGAGTTTTCTGCATTCACTTTTTCCTCCTTTACATCTGTAAAATCTATGAATAATAATTATGGCAAGACCAAGCCATCTTTTGTTTAGAAAGAAGCTGGCATAAGAGATTAATCTTATAAATGTTAGCAGATTACTCTTCTAACCTCTTACATGAGAGCATCTGTGGGTTTTAACTAGAGGACAGTAAAGAAGCATCATACTTGTAAAAAGTGTTGAGATTATTTTGTACTCTTATTTTAACAGCCACTCTGCATACTTTTAATGAGTAAAACCCCTTGAAAGATCCTTTGTTGCAAATAAAAATAAATAATCATGTATGTTTTACTAAAAGTAAAATTGTCTTTTATTATAATTTAATATTTAGCTAGCTATCTTATAACTGTTAAAATAAAATGTACAGTATAATATGGTAAACCTAAGCTAATGTAAGTAAAATGAGTTTAAGGGATGTTTTTACCGTAGTGATTTTCCATAGTCATAAAAGAAGTTAATTAAATGGCAAAGTATAATTCCTCTCAAAAACAGTAAAAGTAAATGAATCAAGTGGAATAGTATGAATTGATCAGAAAGCTCAATAAAATCTAGAAAACAAGAATATACATCCATAGAAATGAATCAAATCACAGATTTAGTAAGTAATTGAACTTTTATGCGTATGGGAGCAACTACAGATTTACATTGGCTTCCATCTGTGAATTATTAAGAATCTTGTTTGCTCGAAATAGTTTCTTGTTTAAAATACTGCTAAAGATGAGGACTTTCCTTTAATAGATTGGTTTCTGAAAAGTCTTACATAAGCTTTCCAGTTTCATTGATTACCTATATCTTAAAATTCAAATTCAGAACAAAATAAGCATATTTCTTTTAATACTTCATTTGCTTAAATTATTTTGCTTATGATGTGCTATTTGATTGTTTCTGCTTAGTTTTATTGTAATTTTTGCTATTTGAGCAGTCATATTTTGCTGATACACCATTTTCATTTTTACTGATTATGAAAGTGGGGATTTTAAAGTTATGTCTGCTAATTTATATTTTGCCTCTTCTCAAAAGTATGTCAGATTACTTGGTATACTTTGCCTAACTTTAAGAAGTGTGAGTGACTTGCCAAATTTCATTGACTTCTCTCTTTTTTTTTTTTTATTTCACTCTGAAATTCAGTGAGTATGTTTCGTGTTTTAATAATGAAACTTTCATTTAGAGATGCGCAAAATTTTTATGTACAAGTCATGGCCTGGATGATAGAAATGGATTCTTGTTTAACAGATACTGGACAACTTCTTGAAGATCTTAATAGAAAATGTGCACTTCTGTTGCAGGTACATTTTAATGCCTCTGATAATAATTTTTTTTAACATCTTAAAAAGTGTAATCTTTATTTTGCTAGATTGTCCATGCAAAATAGGTAGCTGTCACTAATTCACAATACAATTTATCTTCCAGTTTTAACAGTGTGTTGTGTATTAATGAAGTAAAGATCAGTATTATGTAGTGTAATAAAGCTTTTAAATGCAGTTATATTTAACAATATTTTGGTATATTTCTGGGACAACAAGTTTTACATTATTCATTTCCTTAATAAAGAGATTATATTTATTATTATTAATGAAGTAAACTGCAGTATTGCGTAGTGTAATAAAGCTTTTAAATGCAGCTGTATTTAATAATATTTTGGTATATTTCTGGGACAACAAGTTTTACATTATTTATTTCCATAATAAAGAGATGCTTTTAATACCTATATTACTCATTTTCCTTTTAATTCTTCTATTATTATTTGAGAAAAGATAGGTTCCCCCTTCCTTAGATATTGTTGGACAGAATTCTTCAAAATGAGATAATTTTATGTAGGTGGTCTCAACACTGTGGAATGGAAAGATTCCGTAAATATAAAACCTAAATCATATGTGACCCTCACGGAGGGGGAAAAATTCCCATTAATAAAGCATAATGTTTTAGTTAATGAAATGTTAAAAGGTTCTGTAGTTTCATATGTAAGTTCACATAATTGGTAGTTAAATGGGGCCAACTATTAATTTGGTAATGCATGCTGATTTATGTAGCTATTTTTTAATAATTATTCACTGGCGCTTAATCTAATGAAAATGCATTTTGAATTTTCTGTTTAATATTTTTTAAAATGTAACATGGATAAAGTTAGATAGCAAGTTTGAACTTCATAATCATTTTAAATTTCATGAATGCTAAGCCAGTTGTTTTAATCAAAAAGCTGACATAAGGAGTGCATGAACTTGTTAATTTTTAACAAATTTTGCTTACTTATAGATGATTTTAAAGTGAATACATGAAGACAGAACTAATATCTATTATAAATAGGGAGGAAATTTGAGGCTAAAGTTTGGAATAACATGTACCATGGAATTCCATGGCATATTAGAAGCTCTGATTGTGTGATGGTTAACATTTTATTGTAAATGAAGCCTTCAGTTGGAATTCCATCTTGGCAGCATTTTTTATCATTATTATTAATTCTTCATACGCAATTTCTATTTTGAGAGCAAATTTATTCCTGAAAAATATTCTTAATAGCAAAAATGAAATATAAAAATTTTAAGAGATAAAGTAACTTTTAATAAATATTCAGTTGCATCATTGTAATTTTCAACTCAGAATCATAGTATCTCTTTGTAAGAAGGTGGAAAAATTTATTCTTTGTACATCATCAACTGAATTCATTGCTTTTGAACCATGTTAAAATCTGTGCAGCATCAGAATTACATATGTATAAAGAAAACTTGATTGTTAGTAAACTTTACTTTTTTGTTAAAACATTAAAAAAAATTTTTGAAAAAATATCTTAAATTGTTAGAAGCATCATTTGTTCATTGTATCTGATGCTGAAATATTTTTATGACAAATATCCCACCAACTATCAGGTTGTTTTAATGAGTATTCCATGTAACATAAATGCAAACCAGTTTACTTTAGAAAATCATGAATTAGGGCGTCTCATTCCTTATGCTGATAACCCTCATATGCTTTACCTTATGCAATAAAACAAGCCTACATACCAAGTGTATATGAATTTAGGGAAAAACGTCATAAACTAGAGAAAAATAAGTGAAAAATTCTTTTTTCACAATGTTTTCATTTTCTATTATTTTTGCAATGTTCCTTTAAAAATAGTTTTCACCAATAAATTGTTTTTCAAATAGAATAAAATAATAATCATGATTTAAAAAGTAATTACGCTGGAACAGAATGATTTGAACTGCAAATGCGCTAGTCACTGTGCCATTGAGGCTTCTAAAATGCAGTGGAATCTGAACAAGTAGATTAGCTGCTTGTGGTTTTTCATAAGTTTTCTTCCTGTATAACATGGATAAAAGCAGTATATATTGCAGTCTAGTTAGGATAAATAAAATTGAGAGCACAGTAGTGTCAGTAATTGATACTGTAATTCAGTTTTGAACAAATCTCTTAAATGATGCTTAGTAGTAATAATGATACTTAGTAGTAATAGATGGAGCATAATTTTTCCTTAAAATAAACATTTATAGCTCAAGCAGCCTGTCTTCATTAAAAGATGCAAAGAATTTAAAGCATTTGGTTTCTATTACAATGTCAGAGAGGGGTATTGCACGTAGTTAAAGACATTGCCTGACTGCGCTGACAAGGTCTTTAAAAATAGAAGCAAATGGTTTCAGTTCTACTTCTAAGCCCAAAATGTTTTTATTTATATGTATAAATATGTTTTGGATTTGTGATAGCGTCTTATATAATAGTTTAATTTTTGTAAGATGATCAATATTACTAAGCATTAAGAAGGAATGGAGTTTTTTGCAGTGAAGACAAATTGCAAATTTTATAGAATGGCCTTGGCTAACTTTTTGGGAGATTAATTTGAATTTAAAAAGAAATGCCATGTACTAAATATTTTTATTTATGTAATTTCCAAAAAAAGTTTTATGTTTAACCAAATTCAATGAGTGAGATAAATTTTTCTTCTTTTTCTTCATCAGAAACAGAACCTTGAAATGAGACTGGCTTTCATAGTTTGATTCAATTCAATTCAATTCAACAAGCGAAAATACCATATGATTTGCATACATATAAAGAAATCATAATTATTTAAAAAAGAGTAATTAATGTGTTTTCATCTTCTGGATAATAAGAATGTTCATTTAAAGGTCATAGAAATCAGTAAACTCCACAAAGTAACACACATAGACGAGTTTGATTTTGCGGTACTTATGATCTAGGTTTAATTTTTGAGGCAGGTTGATAAGTGATGCAAAAAATGCTATCTATTCAGTACTTTATTGGTAAAAATTTAGATAATTAAGTTGCTTTTTGTTACAATCTTGCTAGATAAAATTATGGCAAATAAAATCAAATTTCCTATAATAGAGTACATTAATTTTGAAAGGAGTTCCAATTTTCTTTTATAATGAAGTACATCAGTTTGGAAAGGAGCTGCCAAGAAAGGTATTTGTATTTTTTGTGGGTGTGTGTCATTGCAGATGAAAATGCAGAATCATTTATGTTGTAGAAAGTTAGTTGTCTGCTTGGATTTATGCTGTAGAAATTGCTAAAGCATGACTGTTCTTAGACAATTTTACTGATAAAATTTGGAGAGAGGATTATTGAATTAACTGAAGAACTCCACTCATATTATGCTCCACCTGAACAAGTTGTATCTTGAAAATCCTCTTGCAGGAAATACTGTTTGCGTCTTTTACTGCGATTAGTTGACTAACCAATCAACCTGATGCATTGTGAAGTTTAAATAATATATAAATTATGTAGAACATTGGCTTTGATTATTCCTGACTGGAGCAACTTTTCTTCATATTCAGTTCAGAACACTTTGAATTATGTGAAATTTGAGCAGAACAGGTGGGTTCCAAGTTATCCATTCTTCTTGTGAGCTAAATGTAGAAATGTTTTTTTTTTTTTTCCATCTAATCTTCATACCTAGTATATAGCTACTGTTTACCACTTCAACATAAATACTATTGATATTTTCCCTGCATGGTTATACAGAATAAATTGCATGCTGTTTACATAAACAGAAGAAATAAAAAATGATATTCAAGCATCTAACTACCCCGAGATTGCTTTTATGAGTTTTATTTGAAATTATTATCATATTCTGCTTATATTTTAACCACAAATGAAATACAGATTATATTCCAGAGATGCTGAACATTGTATAGGGGTTGTTAAAATGAATAAAATTGAAATTTTACAGTTGCAAGCTTTATGCATAGTATGCTTGGAATTTAAAAGTTGCAGTGACCCCCCCCATCTTTTTCCTCATGTCTCAGTATGCTTTTAATTAAAAAGTTGGAAAATAATATTGTATTCTTATTTCTATTATATCTCAAGAATGGGATTCAGTGTTTTTAAATTTCTACTAAAATGTTGAATATGTTTAATTCTGAAGACATCATTATTTATATTTATCTTTAATTAAAATTTTCAGACGAAAATGATTTACCCAATTCTTTTATTTAAAAAAAAAATTATAAATTAGAACTAGAACTTCATGATAAGAGATTCTTGATGAGGGGAGCTCTTCACAGTAAGATTGAAATGGAATTAAAATGAACTCAAAATACCTTCTTTCTTTCAAAACAAATGATATATCTATATATAGATATGTAGCTGATAGCAAAATGCGCGATTTGTAGCCATTGTGATAAAAAATTCTATATAAATAATTTTTATAGGGTTTGAAACTAGCATGGAATATTAGTCATCAAGTAAAGACAGTCCATGAATCTTCATATTTCATTATCAAAACCAATGACGAAGACTTCAGTAAAAAAAAAAACCAACGGGGGGGCCCACTTTGTAAAATGAGTGAGTATGCTGACGGTGAGCAGTTTTCTTTTGAATTCCCCTTTCTCTCTCTCTCTTTTTTTTTTTTTTTTTTTTTTTAAGAAACACCTGTATAATAGTGCATGAAGGCAGGTGCTTCAGTATAAAATTTTTAATTAGGCAGAAATCAGTCTAAGATAAATGTTAGCTTTATGGGAAAATTTTATATTTTAGTTGATCCTCCTTTGATCTCCTGCCATCTTTCAAATTTGACGCTTTCTGCCTAGTTTAAAAGGACATATCCAGAATGTTATGCTAATGTTCAAAGATTTTTCTTTCCTCCCCTCCTGAATTTATTAGTTATTATTTGTAAAAATTCTCTTTGAAAATTTAATTATATAGCCTTTGGAATTGATAAAATTTTCTATCCTTAAATTTTGTTCCTGGTAGGGAATTGAAGGATGTTATCATCGACATGCTGTTGTAATCAGTGAATCAATAACTCATATTGTCCAGCATTTGGGCTATCTTGCCTTGACTATCATAAATATTGGCAAGGTATGTATCTATATTATTACATACTTGTATAATGCATGAATGTATTTCTGAATTGAATGATTGTGATTTGGTGTCAGCTTCAGTATTTGTTCATTCAATCTGTCATGTGACTGTGATTAATTGTTTTTAATATGATATCTCAACTGTGTTAATTTAATTATGGCAGATTATGTGAGGCTTTACATGCCTGGAAAAGTTGTTGCCTTTGTAGAGGACTTAACTGGCATATATTTAATTACTCTTGAACTGCAAGACACAATGTAGCCAGCCCACTATTATGGACGTCTTTTTTAAGGAAACTGCCTTCTTTTTACAAAGCACTTGGGAAAAACTATGAAAGCCTCTTGTAGTTTACTCATTCTTTCACAGAGTCTGGAACTTGTGAAGAGCTTCTCTATTTTGGGTCTCCATAAGTCCCTTAATGGGCAAAACTTGGAAAAAGAATTAATTTTGTTCAATTTTGAATTTGGGCTAAATAAACTTGAGTGGTCCAGCTTTTGGGATCTGTTTATGAAGATTTGTATTTAACCCTTTGAAGTTTGGTGCACAAAAAAATTTTTTTTTCACAAAAATAACTTTACACATAGATAATT